TAACCTGATTAAATCCAGTCAGGTCCCTTTTTGCTAGATGTGGCTATGCAGTCTTACAACATGCTGTAAAGGGGCAGCAAAAAAGTAAATTTCCCACTGAACATTGTTCAGAAATCATGCAGATTTATTTTCAAACAAATCTGAAAGAGTCCTGCTCAAATGGCCCTATTTTCCAACCCCTGAGGGTCTATATTGGGTTTGTGGATAATCTGCATATTCTGTTCTGCCTCCTCTTTGGTTTGGTTCACGTTACTTGACCTGGATTGCTCCTGCCTTTTGAATAATTTCCCCTGAAAATTCTAATGATAGCCATTATAATCAGAAGCCAAAACAATCAGTAAGTGAAATTAGCACTAGCCTTGAAATAGAGGAGGATAAGCTAGTTTCTTTTCTTTTTTTCCTTCTTTATTTTTTCTTTTTTCTTTTTTCTTTTTTTTTTTTTTTTTTTTTTTTTTTTTTTGTCACTTTGCAGTTCTTATATGATTGACAAGGGATAAGCTAGTTTCTACTCAGGAAAGATCCCAGTGTCGTTCCCGGGGGATCACTCTTGGTGGTAGTGGAGTACCAGTTGTGTAGAATTTAAAGCTAATTCATAAACTGGGAAAAATCTTAGATTTTGTAATCAATTAGACCTCCCAGGGTTTCAGATGGGTAGAAGTTACTCTCAGAAAGGTAGATGATAACTTACATATTCAACAGAAACACTTAATGAAACACCATGCAGCCTAAGATCTTCTTGTTGCTCAAGTGGAAGGCCTATATTTGGTGTTCAGCAAAACTGAATAATGTATTTGTCTCTCCCCTGATTTTGTTAGGTTAATTTTAAAAGGTGGCTGATACTGCTGTTTCCTTAGACACTGCTATCAAATACGTTAAAGAAATCTCTCAAAAGAAAGAAACCCATGATGTGTTCACTGGAGGAACTAAGAGTTGGTTTGCAAGCATCCTAAGATGGCAATCTTGTGTTTTCCAAGGATCTCTGATCTTTATATTTTTTCTAGTAGGTTTCCAAGTTATTATGATTTGCATTACCAGGGTAACAATGAAAATGAATACCTCTTAAAGTCAAGCGACTTTACAGCGAAATATAGTCCTTAATCGTTATCATACTCCAAACAAAGGCTCTGACAAATTGGACCCTAGTACTGTTAAATTACCCATATTTTCTGAACCTTAACTTGGCTAATTTGATTTGGTTCATTTTATAAGAACTCTTATTAAGGAGCATGCCCTGGCATTTTGATAGTACTCTTGATAGCCGTAATGATAGTCACCCTGTCACATTGTATCCTCTCTTCCTAAATGTTTTGTATGCAGGCATCCATGAAGAGTTGAATGGTCTCACTCCAACTGGATCAGCAAGAACATAAGGAATCATTTAGGTAGTACAAAGCTGTGACTTGTGAATTCCATATTAACACAAAAGAAGACTTGTGAGATTCCAAAGTGAAACTAAAGAAGACTGGTGAATTCCACACTGAGACCAAATAAGTCTTTATGATAAAGACAGAAAGTGGCATCAATGCTTAAAATTTTGGTCAATCCTCCTAAATTGACCAAAAGCAAAGAATTGCTAAAGCAAACTACCTACGCCCTGAGAAAAACTCTGTACTTCTATATTTGAGTCCTTGTAGATGAACCATAACCCAGCTTAATAAGCAGACAAAACTGAAAACCTAACTTAATAGTATGGATCCATAATAATAGCTGAGTGTTGGCCAATCCCAGTGGCCATACTTCAATCACTCATAGACTGCTGAGTGTTTAAACTGCGTTCAAATAAGGCAAACGCCGAGCTGTAACCATTCTATTTCTGTACCTCACTTTTTTTTTTTTTTTTTTTTTAGACGGAGTTTCGCTCTTGTTACCCAGGCTGGAGTGCAATGGCGCGATCTCGGCTCACCGCAACCTCCGCCTCCTGGGTTCAGGCAATTCTCCTGCCTCTGTACCTCACTTCTAATTCCTGTACATCACTTTACTTTTTTTTGTCTATAAATTTGTTCTGACCACAAGACACCCCTGGAGTCTCTCTGAATCTGCCCAATTCTGGAGGCTGCCCAATTTGTGAATCTTTTGTTTTGTTTTGTTTTGTTTTGCTTAGTTAAACTCCATTAATTTTAACTTGTCTGAAGTTTTCTTTTAACAGAAGTGAGAGAGAAGGGAAGGAGTGGTCAGGTTTTTTCTAAAATTCGGCTCTCCCAGAAACTAATAGTCTCTTTTTGTTGATAAAAAGAAATACCTAAAACTGAGTAATTTATAATGAAAATAAGTTTATTTGGCTTACGGTTTTGCAGATTGTCCAAGAAATATGGTGTTGGCATCTGGTGAAGGCCTCAGGCTGCTTCCACTTATGGTGGAAGGCAAAGGGGAGCAGATATGTTGAGATCACATGGTAGGAAGTGAAAGCAAGAGGAGAAACAGCAGATGCCGGGCACTTTTTAACAACCAACTCTCAAAGAAACTAATAAAGCAAAAACTCACTCATCCAGTTTCCCTTCAACTCTGAGATCCTTTAATCTGTTTATGAGGGATTTGCCTCTATGACCCAAACACCTTTCACTAGGTCCTACCTCCAATACTGGGAATCAAATCTCAACATGAGGTTTGGAGGGTCAAATGTCCAAATCATAGCAGGAAGTGTCACAGCATCTAACACATATGGGAACTGGAAAGCCCCAAAGCAGCAAACATTTCCTCACCGGAAATTTCAGTAAACTAATTTGAGAATAGCAGCTGATAATGGGACTACTTCCAATTTTCAGGTGAGATAAGTGATCCAAAAAAAGGTTAAAGGAGTTGAAACAGCCAGTGTCCTAACAATTCTTGAAAGTAATCATCTGAAACTCCCTTCCAGGACAAGGCCCATGTCGAGTAAAATCCCCAAAATTGACCAGGAGATATTCAAAAGAGAGAAGAATCAGCAAATTGAGCAAGAGAGAGAAAGTCTAAACTAAATTGGGGTTACAGTAAAGAAGCAGAAGATTTCAAAGAAAGGGCCACTTTTGAAAATACTTTTGTGAAAACAACAGAAGGAACTCTGTAACTATGAAGCTAGAAAAGCTCTTGTGACCCCCCCTTCCTACCAAAAGCTCAGAAAAATACTGGTGTGTTAAAACAGGCAACAGAAAAGTATTATACTTGAATCTCATACAAGATTGCTAGAGAGAAATAGAGAGTGAATATGAAAAACAGAATAACAACTAAGAAAAGAAAAGTATACCAGAAAGACATTACCCCCAAAATAGATTAAAATTACAACCTAATATTTCAAGATAAGCTAAAATACATTAAGAAAATTATAGAAAACATGAAATACAAATAAGACAAAGAACAAAGAAAAATGAGACAATAAAATTTAGAAAATAATTAGAAATTAATCAAAAGTATTTCAAAAATCAATGCCAAATCAGAAGAAACAGATGAGTGATATTGAGAAATAGAAGATAAAGAGGAGGAAGATTTTTACTTTACTAATTTTTAAGTTGTCAATGAAAATTAGAAATCATTGTATTTTCAGAGTAAAAATAATCTTAAATATCTATTTTAGTGCCATCATAACTTACTAAGTACTTATGTGGCTTGGATACACAGTTTAACTTTAGGAAAATCTTAGTAAATACGTCACTGATTCTTATGTCAAACAACATATTCTTAATACATTCTTGCCTTATATAATATTCGGTGCTTTTTGACCTAATTTTCTGCATACTGTTTCAAATAACTATAGGCTTTGGAAAGTCAGAGTTCTTAATACTATTTTTAAAATGTTAAATCTATAAGCATTAGAAGAACTCCAGTTTTATTTATTTTTTTAACAAACACAATGTTTATTAATAAATTAGTACACTTGAAGGCATTTTTCTGATATCAGTCCTTCCCCACTACCCACAAACCCCGCCCACACAAAGGGAGTCCACGCCACACGCCACCTTTGCACTGGAATCTGGCAACTGAACGTTAGAAGATACATTTGGAAATAAGAGCATAGTTGCAAATATATCAGACAATGGTTCTTACAGCTGCAGCCATTTGTAATTAAAGTAATTGGTGAAGGAATCCCAGCAAGACCAAGGCCTTGAGAGCAGATTGGACCTATTGACTACATGTATATAAAAAACAAGACATCTTTTAAAGCGAAGCTGGGCAAATTCTCTATGGAAAGGGTGCCACTGGCACTTGATCTTAACTTTCCAAAGTGCAGCAATGTGTTCCAGAACAGCTCAAGTCCTAAAAGGTGAAGTTCGAGTTCTTTGGTGGCCCAGTTGTCAAGCCACTTAGCAAATCCTGATGGCTTGAGGATTTCAGTTCTCCAGCCCAGAGCATATTAGCATTAAGAGGAGTACAAGTAATCAAGCATTCTACAGTGTCCAGGTGAAAATCATACAATCAGCAACAGTGTGGTCAAGTTTCAGCCATGAATATGAACTATATGAGACATATTGAAAAGATAACTCAGAGTCTAATTGCACTACAGTAACTCAATGGGGTCTTAAATTTTCTTAATCTTTAAGAAAATTTATAAAGGACAAACAATAATAAAAGTAATAATAATATTTGTTTTTTAAAAGTAGGTGTGAATGTTAAGAGACATAAAGACTGCTTATAGGATTCACAAGATTGCATTATACTTTTAAGAAGTTAGCCTCACAATCCAGTGTGTGGGAAAAGTCACACTGCATTTATGGTAAGTTAAGTAAATTTAAAGTGCACAGAACAATCTTGAAAATGCATAAGAAGGCAAAATGGAGAAAACATGGAACTTAAAAAACTTTAGTGGTAAGTATTTCACAACAGTTACACCTTGAAAAGACTTATAAACCAACTTCACAGAAGAGAGAGAGAGAAAGAACTCAAGCACTGGCTATATATTCTGTTACACACACACACACACACACATACACACACGCCCCAAATGACAAAAATCAGAAACAGAAGAAAAAAAAAAAAAAAACACCCTGCTACTAAACTGAGTAATTTCCAGAATGCAGTATCCCTATGTTCTACAGTAGGTCAGGAAGATGGCTATAAACAGAGTCCAGGAGGGTCTGGCTGGCTTTCTGGCTCTTGACTCCAATAATTTCGAATAGCTGGTCCAGTTTGTCCTCAGCCTGGGGAATCTCTTCAATCACCCGCAGTTCCTCAGGATTTAGAATGTGGAGCATGTCATCAAAGATAGGCTGCAAGTCACAGGGGTCCAGCCGTACCTGCCGCAACACTGTGTCCTTCTTTTCTTTGGTAATGAAGGAACCGTTCCTGCTCAGCGCGGAGGAGCCACTGGATGTAAAGACACAGCGGAGAAGGGGCTCCGACTCATCCACGAAGAAGCCCTTGTTCTTGTCCAGAGGGGAAGGCTCCACCGTCAGGAGAGTGGAATTCTCAAGTTTTGCGTTGGGGCTGGGGATGGGGCTGGGGCTAAGCGGGCTGGGGCTCATCGGGAGAGCCAGTTTGTCAGTTTCCAGCTGGGTGGTGTCTTCCATCAGCCCACGAATCTTCTCCACAACATCGTTTCTCCGGTGCTGGCGCAGGGCGCTAATCAGCTGGGGGAGGCTGGCCTCGGGGCACCGGATGGTCCAGTGCTGCAGAGCCGCATAGGCCCGCTCGTGGTCAGCTGTGTACCCGTTGGAAAAAGCAGCAACTTCCCTCTCACTGACATTGCAGAGAAATCGATAGATATCTTCCCACTGACTTCCCACTTGGGCTGCTACAAACTTCAGGATGTTGATACCACGGCCATTGCAGTAGTAGATCCACTTCTCCTGGTTCTGGGTTCGAGTCATGGATTTCTTCAGCCCTGCCTTTTCCACAGTGGCACTGGGATCCTGCCGGGGCCTCTTTTTCAGAGTCCTCGAGCTTTTCCGGCTACTGCACACTACAGTCACCACAAGCACCAGCAGCAGGAAAAGCACAATCATCCAGGGCAAATGCTCATTGATGTCAAAATGCTTACGTAGGTTCTGTCTAGGATGTCCCCTCTTGGATCCCTTGATGGGCGTGCTGGACTTCTCGCCCCCAGTGGCCTCCGTGGACTGCAGCAGCTTCAAAATCTGTCTGTGGTGGGGGCCTTGCTGGTGGTTGACTACCCGAAGGTTTGGGAGGGTCTTGTTCATGTCTTCTTTCCCCCTTGCTGAGCTTGTGTTGTCAGGGACTGTCCATTCCTGGATGCTACTCGATACCTTTGGTCTAACAGAGGCAGAAGAGTTGGATTCTGTTGAGTTCATGCCTTTGGGAACATAAGTGGAGGAAGGGACTTCATGGGATTCCATGTGCTCAGAGCGTGAAAAGATGGCTGTGCCGGGGGAAGGTGAAGTGGAGCTGGAGAAGGGCAGGAGTGGGCCACAGAGGTTGTCTGCCTCCTTGGTCCCCGGCTTGATCACCACCAGGTTCTGACTCAGACAGTCTGTGTATGCTTTGCATTTCATCACACTAGAAGGCACATCTGAGAAGGTACCCCGAGCACACTGCTTACAGCGCACATCCTCAGTCTCTGTCCCTTTCTTCCGTACCCCCCAACCCACGGGACACACCGTATGGGGGGCACAGGTAGCGTTAGACTGGAACATGCCAGGTGGGCAAGTGCATTCTCGGTCAGTCAAGGCAGCACAAGGTAATTTCTCAATCATCGGCCATGGGCATGGCTGACTACAGTCATGGCATTTCTCTATGCCATTCTCATGCCTGGTAAAGGTCCCCACAGGGCAACGGCTGCAGACGCGCAGGCTTGTGTGGGTACAATGCTCAGAGACATAGGTTCCTGCTGGACACTTGTCACAGGTTAGCACTTGGCCGGTGGCAAGGTCAGCATGGCGGTATGTGCCAATGAGATTTGAGGCCTTCTGTTCGGGCTGAGCTGTGGTGGTGCTAAGGAATCCAAGCAGGAGAAGGGATCCCGCGATCATCGTGGCTCTGACTCGGCGGGCGAAGCGGCTGCCGGAGGCCAGTGCGGTGCTGCTGCTCGCAGACGTACCCATGGCTGAGCCGGGGACTCGCAGGGCCGCCCGGGGCGCGCGGCCCCAAGGCAGCTGGAATCGGCGGCTGCTTCTACCCAGCGCCGCATCCACCGCCGCCTCCCCGGCCGGGAGCCCATCTACCTCCAACACCCCATGTGCACTGCTGCAGCCAGGCCGAGGAGGGACGAGGCGAGGGAGGCTCTAGGGACGCTCAGCATCTGCCCAGCGCCGCGGCCGCCCAGGCGGGGAGAAGCCGCCGCGACTGCAGCCCGCGCCTCCGGGTACTCTCCTCAGGCAGCTGCTGCGGAGGACCGAGAGGAGGGCTGAGTGCGCGAGAGCGAAGGAACAAGCTTCCCACAGCGAAGCTTCCAGCCGCTGCCAACCACCCTCCTCCGCTGCCCAGACTGGTCGGTGAGGGACTGAATCGGTGGCCACCGGGCGCGGGGACACACGTGGTGGCCAGAACTCCAGTTTTTAAAGAGGAAGTTGGACGCTCAGTAAACAACTTCTGAATAAAGGACGAGTAATATTTAAGAGAAAGTGAAATATACAGGAGATGACAAATAAAATATGATACTTGCATGAAAGCAGTCACAAAAAAGAATTTTCATACACAAGCCCAATACATTCTGTTTCTCCTGTTAAATATAAATTTTTTTAAAATTGAAAAAAAAAAAAAAAAAAAAAAAAAAAAAAAAAAAACAACAAAAAGCAACTATATGAAGACCCTGGAAAGTAAACAAAAGCAGACAGACTGGGAAGTGTCAAAGTGAATAAATAATCCATAAATAGGGAGTTATTCCCTTTTTCCTGCTTTTATCTGTAACTTTAACTCATAAGGGGAGCCCCATTTGCAGAACAGCCCATTAGCATCTCAGGAAGTTAAAACTCTAAGAAAACAATGTCTTTGTGGCCAGAGAACCAGGAAAAGAAAATCCTTCAGGCTGAAGAGAGTAGGAAGAATTTCAAAAGGTAAGAGTTGAAGCAGGGATCCTCTAATACTACTTATAAACCTGCAAAAGGCCTTGGGTTATTTCAAAGCTGCACAATGTGATAGAAACCCAAATTGGCATAAGCAAAGGTTTTTTTTTCTACACTGAATATTGACACCACTGTCCACAAAGTGTGAGACAGAACTTACCTAACTGGATTGATGTCCTGCTGAAACAAATGTTCACCAGAGGATTTTTTTTTTTAATTGACACAGACTTTCTTTTTCTTTTTTGAGTATTGTTCTATGAGTTTTGAAAAATACAGAGAATCATGGAACCACCACCACAGCCAAGGTACTGGACAGTTAAATAACCTAACAAAACATTTTCCTGTGTTATTTTTTCATGGTCAAACTCTCCACCCACCCTTAGCCCTTGGCAATTACTGATCTGTTCATCACTATAGTTTGCCTTTCTAAAATATCAAATAAAAAGGATCATACAGAATTTAGCCTTTTAAATTTGGTTTCTTTCCCTAAGTATAATGCAATAGAGAACTATCCAAAAAATGAACTACCTGGGAGTAAATCTTTTAAACATGTGTGCAGAACGTGTGTGTGTGTGCATATCCATACACAAACATATATATGCACACACATGTTCTATAACATATATACATATATAAATTTATATGTTGAAAACTACAAGAGACTTGAAAGAAATCTAAGAGCTAAATAAAAGGATAGCTTTACCAAGTTTATATATTGGGAGACTCAATACTGGTGGCAAGATGTCAATTTTCCCAAATTGATCTTTAGATTCAATGCAATTGATCAAAATTTCCACAAGGTTTTGTAGATATTTTCAAGCTGATTTTGAAATATACATAGATAATTTCCATTTTCAGCCAAGATGAAGTAACAGAGAGGAGATTTACTCTCCTATGTGAAACTACTAAATCAGTGATCAAAGCATATGAAATAGTAGTTTCCAAGATTTGAGGCATCAGGCAACAAAAGACCGTGATCCCTCAGAGAAGGAAAACAAATAAGATGAGCCCTATAATTTCCCGTATAATTTACATACAAAAAAGTTATTTATTTATAGTGTAGGGTTCTAGGAGTTTTGACAAATACAGCATAAAGCCTTCAGTGTTTCCAAGGTGAAGTGCAGGGAGGGAAAACCCGGTAAAACCTTAATTGCACAGCTATAGAAACTATAAAAATAAAACACACACACAAAAAAAACTTTAAAAAATGAACAGAGAATCAATGTGCTGTAGGATTACTTCAATCTATATACACATAATTGAAACACCACAAGGAAAGGATAAAGAGGGAAAGGTAGAAAACAAACAAACAAAAAAATATAGAGAGTAACATCAGGTAAATAGAAATAAAATAACAACAAAGCAAGACTCACGATTTTGACACCTAATTCAGAACAAAGAGCCTCAAAAAGGACAAGGATGATTTACAATGTAACTAAAATTCACAATGTTATGATAGTTATCTTTATTATTACTATTATTATTTGCACACACAATAGCAGCAACAATTTAATAAAACAGAAACTATAAGGGATACAAAAAATAATAGAAGAATTAATAATAGAGGACTTTAACACACTTCATTCTGTTCAGTACAAATCAAGTGGAAAATATAGTAACAATACAGAAGAATTAAATGGGATAATCAATGAAATATATTAAATATAACTTCAACTTAAAAACTATACTTATAGAAAATGTGCTTTCTTTTCAAATTACCATAAATCATTCATAAAAACTACCCATATTTTTCCCCAAAGAAAATGTCAATCAATTTCTAAGAATAAATCTTATACAAACTGTATTCTTTGACTATAATGCAATAAAACAAGAAATTAACAGTCCTATCACCACCAAAAAATGGTTTTTCCACCTAGAAAATTAAGATAAAGTGCAGTACTAAACAACCTTTTAGTCAAGTGGGAGCTAGATAGTAAAATGACATAATGTATTAAATTTAATAATAAAGGAAACATGGCCGGGCGCGGTGGCTCAAGCCTGTAATCCCAGCACTTTGGGAGGCCCAGGTGGGTGGATCACAAGTTCAAGAGATCGACACCATCCTGGTCAACATAGTGAAACCCCGTCTCTACTAAAAATACAAAAAATTAGCTGGGCATGGTGGCGCGTGCCTGTAGTCCCAGCTACTCAGGAGGCTGAGGCAGGAGAATTGCTTGAACCCAGGAGGCGGAGGTTGCGGTGAGCCAAGATCGTGCCATTGCACTCCAGCCTGGGTAACAAGAGCGACACTCTGTCTCAAAAATAAATAAATAAATAAATAAATAAATAAATAAATAAATAAAGGAAACATGAAATATTAAACCCTATGTTATACAGCTAACCAGTGCAGAAAGCAGAAACTGGATCCCTTCCTGTCATCTTACACTAAAATTAGCTCCAGATGGATTAATGATTTAAACATAAAACCTAACACCATAAAAACACTAGAAGAAAACATAGGCAAAACCATCCAGGACATAGGCATGGCCAATGACTTCATGACTACAACACCAAAAGCAATAGCAACAAAAGCCAAGATAGACAAATGGGATCTAGTTAAAATTTAGAGCTTCTGTACAGCAAAAGGTACCATCATTTGAGCCAACTGGCAACCAACAGAATGGGAAAAAATTTTTGCAGTCTACACATCTGACAAAGAGCTAATATCCAGAATCTACAAAGAACTAAAACAGATATGCAAGAGAAAAACAAACAACCCCATTCAAAAGTGGGCAAAGGATATAAACAGACACTTTTCAAAAGAAGACACATATGAGGTCAAGAAACATTTGAAAAAAATGCTCACCATCACTGGTCATTCGAGAAATGCAAATCAAAATCACATTGAGATACCATCTCACTCCAGTTAGAATGGTGAACATTAAAAAATCTGGAGACAACAGATGCTGGAGAGGATGTGGAGAAATAGGAACACTCTTACACCATTGGTGGGAGTGTAAATTAGTTCAACCATTGTGGAAGACACTGTGGCGATTTCTCAAGGATCTAAAAATAGAAATTCCATTTGACTGAGCAATCCCATTACTGGGTATATACCCAAAGAATTATAAATTGTTTTACTATAAAGACATGTGCTCACGTATATTCATTGCAGCACTGTTTACAATGGCAAAGACCTGGAACCAACCCAAATGCCTATCAATGATAGACTGGACAAAGAAAATATGGCACATATACACCATGGAATACTATGCAGCCATAAAAAATGATGAGTTCATGTCCTTTGTAGGGACTTCAGTGAATCTGGAAATCATCATTCTCAGCAAACTGACACAAGAACAGAAAACAAAACACCGCATGTTCTCATTCATAGGCAGGTGTTGAACCATGAGAACACGTGGACTCCGTGAGAGGAGCATCACACACTAGGGGCAGTTGGGGGTGCTAGGGGAGGGACAGCAGGAGGTGGGAAGGGTGGGGAGAGATAACATGGGGAGAAATGCCAGATACAGTATGCACCTATGCAACAACCCTGCATGATCGGCACATGTACCCCAGAACCTAAAGTAAATTAAAAAAAAAGAAAAAAAGAAAAAAAATGAAAACCTATATAAAAACACCAACATCAAAATAAATTAAAAATAAATTAATTAAACACATTTTAAAAAGCTAGAAAGGAGAGGCAAGATGACCAACTAGACACAATCAGGAGGAACATCTGGAAGAACAGCAGGAAGACTAACACATTCTAAGCAGGTCTTTGGAGGGAAACCATTGAGAGTGGATGAAAAAAAGAAACAGATGGTGGGCTAAGGGAGGAAGAAGCTAGAAACCCTGCACAGGATTACCACACACCAGGACTCATTCCTGGCCCTCATTGACTCCTGGGGGAAGGAGTGAGTTGAGCAGGCAAAGAATGACAGATTCTTCCCACAGGTATCAGGAATCTTGACAGCTGGAAATCCCAGAACCCCCACAGACACTTGAGCTCACAGGAAGATTTGCTTAGGGAGGTGGTAGGAGCAGAACTCCAACTAATGGGGTCTTGGTGTAGGAACATCTGTAGTGGAGCACAGCTA